GGGTCTACCGCTCTGGTAAGAGCAAAGTGCAGATAACAGGTGCTGTACTGTACAGTACAACGCGAGATATGCTGTGCCGCATACTGAGGCTCCAAGTTGATATTCGATTCAGACACCCAAACCTTCACCGAGTACCCAATTCCTGGGAGATCAAACCGCGCCGATTCACGGAAAATATTCAAACGGTTACTCAACCGGTTAGCCGTCCAACAAATTAACCATTGTTCACCCACCTCACCCTTCCGATACCGGGGCCGTAGCCCACCAAAAATCCTGCTCCACCACAAAAAAATAAAAAGCCATAGCTTATACCTGGGTCCTATTACACAAGGCCGGGTCTGCAGTACAAGGATAATAAATTTATTGAAATCCTATTACGCATATCGAACCACGGTACGAATACTATCAGAGGTTCCTCAAGACCTTAAGGGAGGTTTGAACGATCTATTAGTTCATCTATCATACTTCTACTTCTAATATAGCTAGCATTTGACCTTCAACCCAACCCCACCAATCCCCCGGCAATACTTACCGATGGTCATTTCGTCCGATCTTTTTTTTTTTTTTCCTCCCTCAATCCCCACCCGGCTTAGCAAAGATGGTCCACTGCCCACAAGCGGGCCAAAGGAGTTAAGGCAAAAAACAATGGAATCTCATTAAATGTGCTGATCGGAGCGATCTAGTCGTGTTTTCATCCCCCATTGCTGTACAAATACAGCACTATCTAGGAAGAACTTATATCCGAGACCCGTATGCCAACTCACGGAAATTCGGGGTTATCGACAAAGTCGTTCCGCGCGTGTGTGTGCGGTTGTGCCACATGCAGTGGTAGATTGTGACAGTTGGGGAGTGGTAGAGGAGATACCGGTAGCTGCCTTATCTGACGTATAACATTATTCACCCATCTGCATACAATCACCGCTAGAGGGATGGATATTAAATGCAATGAGAGCCTATCACCACTACCACCACCACCACCATCGCTTGGAAATAGTCATTCTACAAGAGTCCGGATCAGGCACTCACAAGAGATGGCACAGCACCTCGGCGGAATTCACTGAGGGATAGATATGGGGATGGTGTGATACCGGTACGATACGATATTGTGCCCACTAACCCTCGGTCCTCGTCAAACACAGACACACCAAACATTACCGATTTCGAAAAATGTCGTCACTGCCGGAAATTCCTCAAAGATCCCTTTTTTCTACCCTCGAATGCAATTTCCTATGGCCCACTTTCCTTCTTACTCTTCTTCTAGCATTGAACTTTGCCTCTCTCAGCTACAGAACCAACCTGTTTTGCTCGTGTATGCTTGTGGACAGGGCCTCCACCAGCAGATATTTTGCTGGGTGTTTGGTGAGGACCCTAACAGAATATCGGGGGGCAGAGGTCTTGGCAAAGTTGCGGGAGTATGATACCCTGCTTCAACTATCATACCATACAACTGCAACGACGGGACCCCAGATAATTCCCCTAGTAAGCCTCGGATAACAAGTAAAATGAATACCAAGGAATGGGCAGACCCTTGATCCGCTGCCTGTCATAAGTCCGGGTTGTTGTCACTGAGGTTTACGAGGTTCAAGGTGGGTTTATTTTTTGTAGCCGCATATGATATTCAGAATTCAATTGACTTCTCTAGTTAGAAGCGTTTCTTCGACTGATAAAAGTAAATCTGAGGAATAGCAGGTATTTTAGACTTCTCGCACTTATATAGTAATTAGGTAGTGGTTCACAGCTCGGAGGTTCAATATTTGTTATGTCCCGAATTCTATCCCCAACCAACAGAGTAATAGTATCATACTCGTACAGTACTTGAGCAGCCATGTGGAAGCCCTGCATCCCGACCCAGAAGTTGATCAGGAAGCCATTTACTTACTTGCACACCAAACCTCATATCTTTGCCATCCAGTTAGCCGACAAGCAACTAAAACCACTACAGCACGCTACTTGGACACCTCAGTAGGAAGTAAAACCTCGTACCCATGCACAGAGAATATAGCGGGATAAGCAGGAGATTTTCGCACGGGTCGCTCAACACCCGTCAGAGGAAAAGGATTTATCCAATTTGATAGGAATGATGCCAGGAAGGATAAGCAGCTTTGGCATCTCGAGCCCCCTACCAGTATCCATCCCATACCGACCTCCATACCGTACCCAGGCAATCACTCTTATCTCGGCTCCCTCCCTCCCGGACGCCATAAAAACGCCTTTCCAGACTTTTGAGACTTTTTGTCACAGCTCAACATGCAGCAGGACCTCCCGCTTGATATCCGTCTTCCCCGCAATTGTCAGCCAAAGTTGCCCCGGTCAGCGGGACCCAAGTTATTGGTGACAAAGAAAAAAACACGGCATCTTTCATACCGCTACGCTCCAAGCAAATACCGGTACACCTCACGTCGCAGTGGTCCGTTCTCAATTCCTTTTTACCATTCACTTACCATAGCTTAGGAACTGACTTAACGGGGGGAGGGGTTGACTACGATGGCCAACTTTTGTCCCATCATACAAAATCAATCAAGCGCGACAACCGGGTCTTTAGCTACCCAATACAGTAAATTTAGCCGAAACAAACCGTTTCAAGCTGTGAAAACACTGGAAAAAAAACCCCCCCCGGAAAACTCTGGGAATGCTCTCTCTGATAGAGGGCGGCTATTATCATACCGGTAACCGGAATGTCGTCATGGGTACGCCTTACGAGCAGCTTCTGCTCGAGTATCATAACTCAGCTGATGCAATTGAGTGGAGAGGGCAACAACAACCGCTCAACTCGCGATCCAACACGTCCGTCCCGAACCTCTTTTTACCAACACCCAACCAACAGACAACGGCAACGGCTGATGATCACATGGGCGGCCGGTAGGTATCGCACCTTGGCTTAACTTGTTATCTCCCAATATTGAACTTACCGGTACGAGTACAAGGGCGGCCTATGGATATATCCGTCACGTGAAACCTTATAAGAAAAACTTGTTGTTGGAGCGTGCCGAGATAAGGCACGTGAGGGATATAACATGCAGGCCCCACGCGTGCTGTGCAAAGAAAGAATGATAATTATACTGTCATGAGAATTTTCCAATGCCCCTACTGGGGATTGTGCTCACTTTTGAGAACTCGCTATTTCAATGAACAGGCTGCGCCAACGATTTTCTTTGGTAGAGAGGAGTTTGTAGCTGTGTTGGGCTCACCGGTACCAGATCCTTGTCCTCCTCATCTGAGGGGTACGGTACCGTATTTGGGGGATTTCTGAGAGAGGAAAAGAAGGGAAAAGAAGACTAAAATCCGTGACTGAAGAATGGCAGCCATATTGAGTGTAAAGTACAGTACTGTACAGGTATTACTAAGGGATGGACAATACGGTACGACCCATAACCCACACCAGCAATCAAATACCACCTCCATCAATTATACAGCCTACCACTAGTTTTCGCATTTATTAAAGCCAAAATTACCCACAACCGTTACCGCAAGATACTTCCTTTTCACACTCGGATTGAATTCAAAGGCTTAAAGTTCTTACTAAATACCGTAGGTGTTGTTCCATGACAGATCTTACAGACGTTGCGGAGTGCAGGGGGGGGGGGTTGCATCATACGGTCCAGCCCCAACGCAGTACTGTACTGTACCAGCGCAGTATCACAAGTTATCACACCCAATGATAAGGTTAAAGCCATGGGCAATCCCCCTCTCCTACCGGATCATCTCCCGCCACTCTGTACTGTACGATACTCGGACAATGACCACGAAGGGCGGAAAAAACCCACGGCGGCAAAAAGCAGTGAGGGACTATTTATTACTACTATGACAGCATGTTAATGGACAGATAAACACCCATGAAAAAAGAAATAGTATTTGTCAGAAACCCATAAAGTCATCAACGGCATTGATCGATATCATACCTACCCACCACCACCACCCCACCCCCCCCACTCTAGAGACGAGAATTGGAGGTTTCGAAAAGCGCTCATATCATCCATGGTACTGTACCGCGAAGGGGTCCCTATGGGACAGATCCGTACCGAAACCAAATTTCGTGACACGCTAGAAGTATCATACCCGAGTACCGTATCCTCCCTCCTCTTCCTATCAAATCTTGTGTCATAAGATAACCCTACCGCAACGCGTTCCAGCTCACTCATTTCGACCGGGCTCTATTTATTTATTTATTTATTCATTCTAGTAATACTTACCAGCTACAAGTACGATACGATACTCACTTACCGGTACTGTACTGTACCCCATAGGATCTTTGTCGATCCATCCATCCATCCATTTTTTTTTTATATTTTACCCTCCCCCCTTTATTACCACGCTCGAGTAACGTACAGTACAGTACAAGTACGAATACAAGGGTATTATGAATTCACAGCACGGTATAGAGCAGGGGTATGCAACGCCCTCCTGTGCACGAGGTAATTCTGGAACGCTGGAAAAGCGAGCATTCCAACCCGGACCATGAATGAGTGATGAGTGATGAGTGATGAGAAAGGTGAATGATATTTATGGGTTTGTTTCGAACACTAGATATCATACCGTATCATAACCCTCACAGAACCTGCTTACATAATCACGCTTGGGTCTCAAATCATGAATCGAGATGCGGTATCATAAACCGGCGTCGTTCCACCATCGTGCGGAGCACGCAAGATGAGGGATTCTTTCGCGGGATGGCCTAAATTGACCGTTTGATAACTTTTGAGAACGGTGAGAGGGTACTTGTATTGTACAGTATTATTTGGAGGTTTGGCGGGGGTGCTGTAGTGAGTAACGCGAGTTTATATGATGTGTAGCCGATAGCTTAAACCATGGTGCGCTAAAATGGCAGCTTGCAACTCGCCTCCTACGCGGGGGTACGGCGGGAATTGAAAGGGAATGAACGATAAGTATATTTATCGCTCTGAGCGAATGAATGGGGGGGGGGGTGTTCAAACTCTCATAATACTTCCTATCGTACTTGTGCCTGCCCAACATGCGAGTATGGCCCTACTTACAAATGTGGTACTGTGGCAAAGTTTCGTCCTATATTCATACCAATATACTACAAAGAGAATAATAAACGCAAACAAGATAGCAAATACAAGCCCAGTCAAACCTTATCCGATCAAATCCAATGTCAATGGGGAACAAAAAAACACCCTCACCATGAGAAGGAAGAAAATGAAAATGAAAAATAAGTCCATCCTACATGAGAAAAGGAATGTAAAAGAAAAAAGGAAAAAAACCTCCCTAGAACACCTTATTCAAAAAATATGGTATACAATCCACCCTACCAAATGATAAGTTTGAAAAGAATAATGTTTCCGTTCTCTTTTGATTACTGTATTTGTGCGGTATAAAATAAAATAAAATAAAATAAAAAATCTCTCTCTACATTAGCACGAGCAAGGCACTCAAGACCGCAGCAGCAGCGACGATAGTGAGCCTCGGAGAACTCGCCGAGGCATCGCTCAGGGGTTCCACCGTTGAATTGACAAAGTTGGGACCACAACCTGCGAGTGATTAGCCGTGATACGACGAGAAGGTGGGGGGAGAAAAGGGCGAGGTACCAAGGTTAATTTGCTCCGCTGCGGGAACGTAGGTGGTTGATAACGGCTGTGAAGAATTTCCGGCCGTAGCGGCAAAAATTGCCATTGTCTGGGAAAGGCAGGGGGAACAGCTGTGTGCGCATCGTCAGTGCCTGACAGCACAGTAAAGTAGAGGAGGGGGGACATACGTGGGTCTAGACCCCCCAGGAAATTTGATCCCCAGTGGCAAGTAATACACATAAGAATCGCTCGGACTGGTGGTATTCGTGATGGCGTCGACATAGCCTGTACCCGTCTCCGATCAATTCCCGTCCAAATCTGACCGACCGACCGCAGAAAACTTACAATAGGACCCAGAAGCCGACTTCAAACACCCAGCGGAATACACCACACGATAGGAAATAAACGCTGCGTAGGCCTGGACAACAATGGGGTTCTGATTCCTGAAATCCTGCCCACAATTCTCGTCAAGGGTGATTTGCCGACCCAGCTTCTCCATCACCTCGGTGCATGTGGCCAAGGGAACATTGCAAGTTTTGTCGACCACCCTCGCTGTCGCGAAGGTCCCCTTTTTCGTGACTTCGAAATAACTCAGCGAGTTCTGTCCACCAGACTCTGATTAGAAAAATGCCCAACGCGAAGTAGTGAGAGGAGCTCAAACCAGGAGAAGACCTGACAACGGCAAGCAATCCAAGAAGACTTTATCCGCCAGGAACCTACTAAAGAAGGTCGGGCATGAGTCCGACGAACTATTCGCGCTAATACTTGTTGAGTCAAAGAGCCTTGGCCATGTTTCGTTGGAGGAGTCACTGGATTCCACTGTTAAACCACCAGCGCCAGCCGTGCCAGAGGCGGAGCTGGGGGAAATGCTCGTTGGGGTTGGTGAATTCTGCGCAAGGACCTGTGAAGGTACGAGGAGCAGCGCTATGAGGATGAGGAGGAGAAGGGGCGAGTGATTTGGAGTGATGTTGTGGAGACGGGAGCGACGGCCGAGGCATATTCGGAGCAATGGGGGACTGCTGGCTGTCATTGTCTTTCACTAGAATATATTACTGTTGCGAGGAAGATGGAGACATTAGTTTTGTTGTGCGCTTGCCCTTGGGTTGTGGGAGGTGGACGGCTTTGCTGAGTCGTGATTTGAATATTGTTTCCTCGGTTGTCGAGTGCCCTTCCCTCTGCACTCTATCCTATCTTTTCCCAACTTCTCCTTTGCTCTCTGCCTATGCCTTTCAAAACGTAAACCAGGTTCTCCCGACCGTCCGTCCAAATTTCCAGCAGTAATAAAACGAGGGTGAGGGGGAAGCGTTAGTTTAAAAAGTGGTGAGAAGACGGGAGAAGAAAAAAAATAGGAAGTACTCGTGCAAGCCGAGTGGGACGGGAGGGGAAGAAGTGGCAGATCACAAAAGTTGCACTGGTTACGAAAAAGGAACGAACGGATGAAATGAGGGCTTGCTGGGGCCGCGCGCGAAAGAGAGCCCCTTCCCAGCGAAATTCTTTTTTACGGAACGAAAGGACGCTTGCTTGGATAAAGCTTGGCTGGTAGCACTCAAACTCCACTCTTCAAGTCCAAGATCAAGCAAAGGGCAGCGAAAATGACAGACAAACAGTGCAAGAGAGTGTCGGTGAGCAGGAGAGAGGGCGAGGAGGAGTAAAGAGGAACAGAGGAAAAAGGCATGGATATTTTTCCTCAAACACTACACTTTGCCAACCAATTAACGATAGCTGAATCGGATCAATCAACTCAAGCAATTAATCAAGCAAGCAAGCAATCAGTAATCGGTGTTTGCGATGTGCTGTGACCTTAAGGCGGGGAGGCTGATGCCGAAAGAAGCGAAAAGGGAAAATGGAAAAGGGTGGAATTTACCATTGCAACTTTCCCCTGAACCTCACACACGGTCAGCTTCGAATAAAACACCCATTATCCATTGCCTGAAGCAGTCGTAACCTCCCAATCTTCCCCCATTCCCAGCGCGATATCGTGCCGGTGCTCAAGAAAAGCTGCGCCTTGCGCAATACACCAGAAGCGAACTCCACCCCTCTCCAGGCCAGGGATACCCCGAGTCGGTGAGCGTTTGACAGGCTCCGAATGTCCAACACGGGGGACGGAAAGCCGAACTTGTCCCCATCCCAATTGCAAACTCCCAAGGAGGAAATAAAAAATAAAAAAGAAAGAAAAAAAGAGATGCCACCATCCTTGTCCCCCACCACCCCCATTCAGCCCCAAATACCCGCAATAGTCTAGGCTAAGGAAAAGGTGGAGCGAGTCTTCAGGGTATGCAGTTCAGTGCTACAAGTACGAGGACGGTACTCGTGCTTGCACAGCACATGCAGTTCTCGTGCCTGGAGTTATCCTAAGGACTTGGCTTTCTGAAGGAGCCTCTTTGCATGCTGCACTCTACCGTACTCTTACGAGTACAGTGCCCAAGACCCAACCCAAATGGTGCACAAGCACTCGAGAAACATCTGGATTCCGAACTAACCAACATCGTAAGGTATCAGCAGCATCTACTGTACTGTACTCGTACTTGTAAACGGTTACTGCTCACCCCTCGCTCCGATCATGTCAACGTGAGAAACCCAAGATCTGCGCGAAACGGACTAGCCAGACCCTGTTGGTCTCCGGTGCTTTTTTCTGATTTTCCCACGTTCCTGACGAGGTTTTGACTCGGGGATCGATTCTGCGACTACCCGTTTTTCTCTAGAGGTCACTGGGCTTATGTCTCACGAAAGTGCACTTGCTGCACCTGGAGCCCAAAGGTCAATTGTTGCCATGGTCTTGAAGAATGGAGTTTACCGTGCAATGTGATGAGATCCACTCCATCGGAAATCCCCAAGCATCAACTCGGTTGTCCTCGGGTGTTTCCGTTTGGGCGCAATTCGTAGGATACTCGTATACATGTCAGGGTGCTCGAGGAGCACTCCTTGATATCGGTACTCGAGTACTCGTACCTGTACGGTAGTCCCCTGAATGCCTTGGGGAAAGCATATGGGCAAGTTGGTTCGGCAATGGGGGGCTCGCCTATGTTGGCACTGTGTGGCTTGCGATGATACCGATGGTGAACGTCGACATTTTCTCAATTGGGCCAGACGCGCAACCCTTTCGGCGTTTTTGATCGGATGCTTCGCTACTCGTAGGTAGACTACGGTACTCGAGTACTGTACTCGTACAGTACCGATACTCCTGTCAAGCGACTCCCTAGCAAGTGCCGGTGCTCCTACCATTGCGGGGCTGATAAAGGGAAAGGTTAATCTCTTCCCCAGCGATGGCTCTACGATTCCCAGCGGATCTATCTAATCCCTTTCCCTTTCCTCATAAAGTCTACTTATAAGGGCCAAGAGAGAGCAAGACTACCGGTAGGGTAGTGGAGAGGAACATCACATCAAGAGTGCCGGTACGAGTACCACACTAGCGCCAAAAATTATGAGCAGCAAAGGGTGTTCCACCGAAAACAGCCACATTCACCACCTTCCAACCATTGATCTAGCGAAGCAATCCAATCCAAATCTTTCACTCACACGCGAGACAATTCCCTAGATTTTACTGTGTCTAACCTAGCTGAGGAATTACCAAGAGAGCTATGGTTGGTCAGTGGTTTTTGGCGCAATTTCTGATGATTTTGCAAGGGAAATGGCAAGGCTTGGCACTACGGTACTCAAGTATTATTGCATGCCAAAAGTAGCCAGTAATTCCTCAATAATCTGCGAGAATTTGGAGGGTATATTTCGAAAGGGTTTTTATTAGATCACGCTAACAGGTGCGAATGCTGTCAATCTCGGATCAGATCACAGTAATAACGCCGGAGGAAACTCTGGACATATCGCAGCCCTTTTGGAACTTTCCACACCGTATCTCACACTTTGAGTACTGTACTAAAACACCCAATCCCACTCTAAAGTTGCCTTCCTCCGAAAGCTATAGACTAATCTTCTCCAGTCCTCGGGCGAGAGTATCACACAGGCACCAACTATTTCCCGCTAGGACATGGAGTACTAGTAGTACTGCCTGAAGACGCACTAAATTCTCCAATTATAATACCCTAAGGGTGAGCAATGATATCGATACGTCGCTTGAGCAGAAAGCCCTGTTCTGATATAAGTGCAGTTCTTCGACGAACCGGATGATCACCCCCCAAGATCCGTGATAAGAGGTTGAAGTCCTGGTACTCCATGAAATATGATAGCTCGGAATTTCTTCAGACTTCTATCATGGTGAATCTCTGTTCGAAGTTAAAGGCTACCACGCCACCTACAAAAGGCACATACATGGTGCTTAAGCACACCTGCCCAGAACATTATAAGAATGCCTACGGGTCAGGAGGTTCGGTGCCTCAGATACTTCTTTGCGCCAGGCACCGTGAAAATATGACTATTCGCTTTGTTGTATAGGAATGATATCCCTGATCACAACCCAACTTTATTTGTGGGTGGGAAGTAGTATCTTAAGATATATTTCAAATTATTTAAATTATAAGACGTGATAAATGGAAGTCAGGGATGGGTCCCCCCCGCAAAGCCCAGCACTATAATATTATATGGTACTAACAGTCCTCGAGGAGGGGCTTCAACCGGGGGATGGAACTCACGATCGCTGGAGTACACTTCTATACCGATTGTGACCCATAAGTCGGCAAAAGTGGATGATTTGAGAAGTGGAATGAGAAAGCGTAGTCCAGGGAAGAGAGATGTCCAAAGGTTGGTGATAGCATTTTATTTATACCCACATCAAGGGTTTATCTTAGATGGCTCTCTGGTATATTTGTAACAAGCTTCCTAGATTCTGCAGGATATACCACTATACTAACGACCATTGTCGAAAGGGATTGTATTCCTGTGTCCCTGCCCAGATTTGGCCGAGTGTGATGGTTAACCATTTCCAAAAAAAAAGTGCTGTTTCATTGGTATGATACAAAACCTCTGATGAATTCTGCGGGGACTATCATACATACAACGAATTCAAGTACAAGGCAAAAAAACAAACCGATACCCGCGCATGACCCCTAGGACCCAAGAGCCTATAACTGTGGGCAATTGTCACAGAAGTTCCCGAAGTGGATGGAGGCTTCGCGACTGGTGAAGTACCCCCTCACTCAATAGTCTAATGCTAACTTTCTATCATACACAATTCGTATGATACTAGCGGTTTCCCCGTTACCGGGCAATATCCTCTGGTGGATTGATAATACCAAACTAACCCCTAATCGGTAACTAGCATGGTGTTTGTAAACAGCTATGATAAAAGAAAGCTCTTGAATGTAGCACTTATATTCAGGAAAGCACACACAAACCCTCCCCTTTTTATAGTGGATGAATTGCGGATGACAGCACCGTCGCTGTATCATTTCAGATCATCTCCCTTGGCTGTGTTTGCGGCGCTCGCACCCAACAAGTCCGACTTAACGGGCCGATTAAAATTCTATGCCGGGGGTCCCCGGTGTAATGCCCGGCAAAGTGTGAAATATCTATGGATCATGGCTACCTTACACCCTCCGCCACGTTTTGATGTCTAGTGTAACTTGATATTCCGGATCATAGCCAGGCATGATTCGATTGGTAAGGACTTTCAAATTCTGAAGGCAACAAAAAATGTACAATACTCTTGTGGATATGCTTTCCCTAGAGCCGCTCGTTCAACAACACACCGCAAGACGAACGGGTACAACATATTGAGATAGCTGTGGGCTGTAACAGCGGAAAAACTAGCAGCTTAGCAAAAAAAAAAAAACGGGGGGGAGGTTATAGTACCCGTAACTAATCCTTAACGTTCCATAGGTCGGAAGTATATCAAAGATGCAAAACTACAGGTTCAATTATAAGGCTATGGTATAGGAATAACACCTTTTTTTGACATCCCCCCGGTCTCGAATTGGTGTCTAACCTATGCATTCTCAGGACTAGTCCCTATAATACACAGTCCCTTGCAAAACAGACAAGAAAAGTGCACGGAGAGGAGGAATTTGGGTGCGCCAAGTATGACAGGACCGGAACGGGGGTACTGGCAGCATAGCTTGGGGAAAAAGTTAAATAAGGATAACACCACCCACTGGGCCGGCATAGGAACCACTGCATTGCATTGTTTTGCGGCAAAGGTGGAGGGGAAATCAAGTGTACTCGATGTGCTTAAGAGTCTCCGGAATGAATAAGTAAGAGGCTCACTTGCACTATAGTTTATAGCTCCATGATGCTTGATTTCACGGGAACTGGGGTGTTTTGTGCTTTGTCCTTGTGGTCATGTAACCAGAGTTCTAGTAACTTTATATCAGGTTCAGTGCTCCCAGTCGTCCTGACCCCGTCTAAGACGGACTGGACGACTGGAAGCACTGAGATTCAGGTTATCAACGAAAAAACTTTGGGCTTTAACTTCTTTGTTTTCCTTTATGGGAAAATGTACTCGAAGTTTAACTACATAATACACTATCTAAAGAGGACCAATCACTACACGCTCCCATGTATGGCGTCATAACAAATTGATTTTCCTCTACTGCACTCTGTTACACCATGAGAGAGGTTACCATTGTATCTCCGTGTTTCAATTATTTCATAATATGATTTCAATTGGCAATATATAAGTTTTCCAATTTCCAAATAGATACAGTGAAACACACAGGGGTGACCACTCGTAAGAAATAAAATAGATGTGGTGTCCGTTCACAAGTATCTATACTTGCCCCCTCCAAAAGTATCTGGGAAACTTAGCGTTTCCCAGGCTTAAACCGTGCCAAGATTCCCGGATACTATCGGAATGGACAAGTACTGGTACTTGCGCGTTGCGAAAGTTTCCCCAAATGTGGAGTCTGGTTTGGCGCTAGGGTCGGGCGGGACGCAGTCATTCTCTCGTATTAGTCAACCGGGGATAGCTTACTAAAACGCAACCTCCGGATACAAAAGGGGCAACCAGGTCGAGATTTCCCCACGCGCATTTCATGTCCGTGTTTAAAGAGTCACCCGCCAAGACATCTGTGTAGAGCATTGCGCCGCAGAATTGGAACCAGGTACAGTACGACAAACGCACTATACCGGTATTGAAACACCCTTGATATTTCAGCGTTAGACGCGGGTAGCATGAGAGCCTCTGGGGGTTGCTTTGTCGTAGAATACGATAGGCATCAGCCCCTCGATCACCGCCGCCCATCGCTTACCAAAACCCGGTAAACATCACCTACAGTAGTGATATCGCTGGATCCAATTTCTCCACCCCCCTCCCTCCTAACCTTCTTTCCTTCTGCCGGGTCGCTCATATAACTAACCCGTCAAGCAATAAAGCACCAAAAATGCGCGGCACAGCACAATCCAAGTAGTACCCAGAACCAGTGTCATATAGTAGTCGCACATGTGTTCGACACATCCTAAAACGTGCTTGGCACTACACAAAGTGACACAGCACCCCTTTCGGATGGCTCGAGCTCTGCCATTGGCATACCACCATAATTCCTGCAGGGCAAGTGCGGTAACCGCTGCACCCCTCGATTCCCAATTGTGCCTACCTATATGTGCCAATTACATATATATATCGGCACCTCGGGTCAGTGTCAGCACCGGCCAACCCCATGTGGCTCGCAAAAAAGGGGAGCAACGCCGCCATTACCCAGCGAGTGAGATAATGTGACGTCCACAGCCGGAGGTTGTACGAGTACGAGTACCATAGCACACGCTACAGTTCTGGTAAAAGCGTGCACGGGTGCATGGAGACTGCTTGCCGAGCAACTCTTCCCTCAGGGTGTCTGAGAGCGGAATGGTTCTGTACGAGTGGGGTATGCACGGCTCGGAAAGAGGGGATCGTCGTGGAAGGTGGACAGGAGAAATGGTATGTTTCTGGAAATAATCCCTACTATGAAATAATAGGGAAGGTAGTAAGACAGGGAGGCTGTTTGTATCAGGGTACGGCGCGTTTGATCGGGTCCGCGCAAGGGTCATCCACTATCACCCGGATTAGAATTGTTGTGCATTAACTTAGGCATGAAGAACTTACCAGTACCCGGAACTTTTGTCCTTGCCTTAGGAGGCTGTTCCCTTCTTCACACATTTCCTTTTGTGGAAGCGGTGGAAGTCTGGCAGACGGGGCATGGCAATTATTTTCACAGTGATGTCTTCAGTATAATATTATTATTATAGGATTTTACGAAAAATGTTTTTGTGCCTTCGAACCTGGCAAGAAGCTGTCTGAAGAAGGGGATGACAAAATGTGGGTTAGGGTTTCGTTTCATAATCATCTCAAATCATTCACCCCCGTTTTCAACCAGTCAGTATGCAACGGCCAATTACCGGTGTCACATCATAAGCTATCCAATGGACCCAGATCAGCAACCACACAAACCACAAAGGCACCCCCCGTGCCAACCTCCTCTTTGTCCTCCCGTTTCATCACAGACCGGGTAGAACTCTGCTGGACAAGGCTAACTCGAACATAATGAAGGAAAGCTAAAAATCTGGGCGAGACTTCTCTCTTTTCGCTTTCATTTTCTCTCTGGTGCGTGTTTTCCTCGCTATCGGTGCGGCTTGATTGCTTTTCGGGATTGACTGCGGTGGTATAATTCAAATTTGGTGGTACAAGTACTGTACGGTTATTGAGTGGATGGGTTTTTGTGCCCTTATGTTTCAGATACCATCACCAGCAATACAGGCACCACTCCTTCGCTCAATTGCCCGGGAACCAGGGTGGGCTATAACTTGACTCCACGTCTGTCTGCTGAGCCGGACTTCCCCTCCATAGATTACCCTACATTCCTACCAAATCGAACCATATCGTAACGAGCTTTCTCTTCCTCTCTCTTCCTCTCCATCACCGCACCTCCGATTACCCCCCGCCAACACAACAACCACTACCCCTGCGGCTCGGAGCCACAACAAAACCACAAACTTGACCGCCCCTAGAAACCACCAAACCTGAATCAACAATGATATCGCTCTCACCACCTCCACAATGCCCCACAAAGATGGCGCAAACACTACACTCATCCCTCCTCTCTGCCGTCTTCGCATACCTCGACACCCAAACACTCTTCACCGCAAGTCTAACCTGCAAACATTGGCGCGCAACAACCTTCTTATCGAGGTCCCATTCACCGCAACTCCTTCGGCCACACCTCTCTATGCTGCGCGCGCACTTCGGCCGCGAGACCGTCCCGCACCGCATCCCGATCCCAACGGTGGAAAAGTTATTCACACAGTACGTGCGTGAGACCGCTCCAGCATGGATGTATTCCCGGAGGACATACTTATTACCGCCCTCACACGGGGCCGTATCCGTTTCCTGTGATGGGGGGAACGGTGTGGAAGGGAAAATGGCAGTGGTGGTGGGTAGAAACAAGGTGTACGTCTACGACATTACCGAATCCCCGATAACACAAACTCACACCATCCAAATCAGCGACAAAGTCTCGAAGCTCGCCGTGAAGGGGGGATACCTGGCTCTCTCGACAAAACGGAAATTACACCTCTACGCCCTCCTCTCCAATGGCCTTTCGCTGCGTCTCTACTCTGTGCCGATCCCAGCCGTCGAGGCAATCGCCCTCGGCCGAGCCGGCAAGGCGGAAGAACCACTCGTGGCGATAACCACAAAGGACAAGACGGCGATTATACACCCTTCGTATGCCCTCTGGCGCCGCAGGAACAACTTTTTCTTACAAGGCTCCGGTTCAGTGGCCGGCGCATCCACGGGGCAAAGCGGGAGGTGGGAGGATTGTCCCTGGATATTGGTATATCGGGTCACCGGTGAGAGACTGAGCTTTAAGAGCGATGGTCGGGGGGTACTTGTTGGGAATTCGCTATTGGGAGTTTGGGATGGGGAGGAGCGCAACTTGGCCAGGACTTGGAAAGGCTTTGGACGGAGGCTTGTGTTGAGGGTGGAAGGGGATGGGGCGGTTTGCTTTGGCAGCCTCGTTGGCGCTGTAAACAAAGGCACAGTCACAGTTCAAACCGGCGAGAAAATCAAGGAGGTTAGCGGTGGGAAATGCTACACTGGCTGCTCCCAGGGCCGAGCAGCATACTTGGCCTTCTCGAGAGCACCCGGACAAATCAGTGTGGCCCCCATCGGCGAAGGCAAGGAACAAACAATCTCCCTAAACTCTACCAGCGAAATCCTCTCCATCACCGGTGGAAAAGAACGCATCGTTGTGGCAATGGGGGACCGCATCGTAACGCTAAACCTCTGGAACCCATCCCCCGATTCCCAGCTCAAGATCGAAAAGGACGGCAGTGTACCCTCCTCTCAACCCGGGACCAATACCAAATACGACGCCTGTGTCATTCAATAGATCCTGAGTGACGCTCGGTGATGGCTATCCAATTCTTTCATCTGTCCTTTGTAACATATATATATATATATTATGGCGTTTTGTATTCTCCTCTTCTCTTCCCAGCTGTCTATATCGGGGTCTGTAAGTTATTATATCCTTTTGTTTTGCGGGGGGGGTTTTTTCATGTTTTTTTTTCCCCTTTGGTCGGTATCCACGCCGATGGCCCAAACACACCTTAGCCGCCCACACTTCCCTCAGGAAATTACTTACCGGTACAAGTACCAATAATCGGAGGGTTTCCGTGGGGGTGGGGACAGGGTATTTTGTACTGTACAATACAGCACGGCAAGGATGTGTGAGATATGGTGCGGCGGGAACCGGGACAAGGGTTGTAATGTTGATGCAGATATATGGATGGGTCTAAATATACCGCGCTATATTGTACGAGTACGTATCGAATATTGCTCACTATGATAGGGGGGGGGGGTTCGGTAGATGTTCACGCATACCTTGAGGGGTATTTGTGCGCGGGTGAATATTAGCCTACTATTTACAAGTGTATTGTACTAGAGATCAAGTCTAGATTTATGAGGTTATATATAATAGGAATGGGGGGATTACCGTGTGCTATGATATATAAGTCAACGAATAACACAATCCCGCTTCACCACCTCGATATCACAGCACACTCACTGAAATAACCGATCGCGCAACCAACCACAAGATATCAGCATGACAAGAACACATAGCGAAACGGTACTACGAACAACCACCAAACAAACAAATAGTCCTCCCCACCCAGTGAGCAGCGGAACAAACAAGCAAGCCCAGACCCAACACAAGACTAATTGCATAAACGGCAGTAAGTATGATACACCAAGGCAAGAACACCTACAATACACCACAGCAGCAAAATCCCGCGAATCAGCACCGGCCGGTGCATGCCTTAGCTTTTACAAATATCTGTTAATCCCCCACGGTGGGATGCGCGCCTATCGATATTGCTTGCGGGGAGGGACGTTGGATAGTGATGCTGTACTCGTACTACGGTGTGGATGGGCGTGTTGAGGGGGGGTAATGGTAGTATCATAGTTAGTTGGTAAATTACCGGTCTCAATAAATGGGCCATGCTTGGCAAAGTTGGAGCTGGCAGGATTGCACCCATTATCGTACTGATAAATGGACTACAACGCTGTCTGATATCCGGGTGTCATACCCCTCGCAAACCGGAGGGGGTAGAGGCTAAATTTCCCTCGGTTGTGTATTTCGAGTGAGAGGGGGTGATTTGGGATGAAACCGTGAGGGAATGGCCTGTGTGGATGGTGGTGGTGTTTGTCAATGCATGTGATACGGCACATTTTCGCTGGGGTTGAAATCTTGTATGGTTTAGCTTTGCGCGTCCTCTGTTTGTCTTTGCTGGCGTACGTGTGTTGCCGGGAAAGATCAATGTCTGGTTTGGGTATCGTGGGTTGGGGAGAGGTGGGGTATGCTTGGGGTGTGACTGGATGTACAGTACTCGAGTATGATATCGACTTAACGTGTGTTAACAATTCGTCACCAGGCGAGCAGCTCTTTGGTCATCACGATTAAGAGGGTGGAATTTAAGCTTCGCTTATCTGTGGGTAAACCACTTGTAAGCCAGTAGTGGGATATCATGGATGGTTCTCTCCTCCCGGAGGTTGCTATCCACGGGCCGGGCAAGAATTATTATCTGTAAGAGCTTATGATAGCTTCGTATGGTCTATCGACCTACAGTTCAACCCCGTAGAAGTACTAACTTATCAATAATCACCCGTTCACCTGCCTATCGAAACACCTAGTTGCACAAGTACTTTGCATGGAAGCCCACATGGTCCCCCGCAAAGCTTGAGATGAAGAAGTAACTGTGATCATACCCCTACATCACACCACCACCACCATTAGCCCTCGCCTTCATTCTCTCACCATCATACCCGGGACCATTAGAATACTTACCTCCTGATACCTGACTTGAACCCCCTTACCCCCCGCCGCCTTCTTAAAGTTTTCTGGGAGCAATTGTCCCTGCTTATAAAAATTATCAGCAGTACCCACGTCGATGAGCGCCTCTAAAGTCTCGTTCTCCTCCCACGACTTTACAAGCTCAGTAGCATCATGTTCCGCCCACTTCTCCTTATTCTCCTCACCAAAGTAGCCGCTAAAAGCTTTTTGTCCCCACGGGCAGTTTATCGGATTGCTGATGGGGGCGAAGGCGGACACGGAGAGGTATTTTCCTGGGTTTTTCAAGAACTGCTCACCCGTTCCCATCAGCTCTAACCATCCTGCCGGAGGAACGGGGGGGGGGTCGTACAATAGTCAAAGCCCCGTGTCCACCCATAGAATGCCCCGTGATTCCAACCTTGCCACTGTCCAATACCTCGAACTGCTTGAAAAGTTCCAAGGGTAGCTCCTCGTTAATGTAAGTGTACATGTTGTAATTATTTCTCCATCTCTCGGTAGTGGCATCCACGTAGAACCCTGCACCGGAACCAAAGTCCCAGTTATCGTCCTCTCCCTCGACTTTTGCCCCGCGAGGGGAGGTGTCGGGGTAGACGACTGCGATGCCATGCTTGACGGCGTGGGGCTGTAGGAAGCCTTTCTCGGGACAGTTGTCTCCCGTGCAGGTTAGGCCCGAGAGAAAAATTAAGACGGGGATCTTGTCCGATGGGTGGGAAATGGGGGTGGGAGGGAGGAAGAGATTTAAGGCCATTTTTGTCTTGGTTGAGGTGCCTGGAGAATTTGTGTTAGACTGAATGGCTACTAGAGGGATACGGAAGGGGGAAAGTGATACTCTGGTGCTCGAGCTTGAGTAGCTGCCCGCCAAAGTTGGCGATTTTGGCTTTGATTTCGAAGGCCATTTTTGCTATAGTGTGATATCTTCCGCTGGTGAGGTGGAAGGGATTAGACCAACGTGTCACCCATTTCATCCCACGGTAAATCATGCCGATA